AACAGCGCAAACCTACTTCAAATTCCGTGCTATTTGCACTGATAGTATGCCGTCAAAACTAAAGTGTAATTTAGCCCGGAACTTCTACGGTTTGGATGAAACGCCCATTGGCGACGAAAGATAACATTATTGAACACCGGCGTAATAGCCACTGCGTACTTGCATATTCGCAGCAGGCGCTCTATGGGGATAAAAGGGCTGCGTATTTCAGCTGCATATTGTAATCATTGAATGGCAATAAACCGAAGCATCCGACTAATAGATGAGAGAAGTTTCAATATAAGCTTCAAGTACGATTTTTTCTTAAATTATGAATTATTACATAATTCGCTCAACCGTTAAGAATTATTCCAGCTTAACGCATAAATTTGTGTAAATTAATAAAAATTGAATAAATGATTTGCAAGAAAATAATTTAACTCTCTTATGAACATATACAAATATATAAACCATACGTTAGAAAGAGAAGAGAGAAAAAAAAGAAGAATTTCGCATTTACATACGAATTATGAAATTATGAACATAAATATTTGAATTGTCAAATCTTTAAAATTAATTTATAATTGTTACGATGGAAATGAAATCACAATTAAAAAAGTATGAAAAATATCAAATATAGAAATGTTGACGCAAATGAAATGAATTAATCAATGTTGAATATGCAAATGGAAATGCAAGCTGATGAATGTAACGAACGAAGCAACACCTCGTGAAGAGAAACCAAAGGATAAGAGGGGCTTCAGTTTGCGGTTTTGCGATTAAAAATTGAATGAAAATCAAGTTGACATAAAATTTAACGCCGTATGAATACTATCGGTCGTGGTTACGTAGGGATCTGCAAGTGAAAGGAGGAAAAAGTCATCAAAACTTTTAGTTTGATTCCATAAGTGAAACAAAAAAAAAAGAAAATAAGTAAGTAGGGTCAGGGTTACATGATTTAAGCTTAGATACACATTCAAATATAACGATAGATGATGCTCCTTATACACATGTAAACGTGTTTACCTTGTGCGTATGTGCATGCGTATACATGTTTGAATAACTGTCAAACTAAAGTTAAATGACTATGAGAAATGACTAATTCAGTAATCAAACACGTGAAAGGTATGCAAAGATGAGACTGAAGAAGGTATTAAATTTAAACTCTTTTCAATCAGAAAAATAAGCAGAAGAAACACGTAGTGTGCTTTACACATAACGGTTATCCATGTAGATGAACTATAAAGAGAAATGAAAGAAGCCTTTGGTTCGAATTTTAGTTATTCTCTCCTAGCTCCTCTAGCTTATGCCGAAACAAGAAAAACCTTGCAAAATGCTTACAGAGGAGGGATTATTTCACTGTCAATGTTTAAATAATACAAACTACCAACAACATAAATCATTATTCCACTCTTAAGGCAAAAGCACCATTTCGTCTAACAATCAAAAATTTTAAAATGAAGTAGGTTATTTTTTTTTTTATAAATTCAGCTACGGATATTCACAATAGATTCTAGTGAGAACTTTGTCACAATAATCACCGTAATCGCTCTGGTCTTCTGGTCTGTTCAAATTATTCGAACTAAATTTTAAATATTATAATATTTCTGCAACTATGGGAGATTTTGAAGATTAAAAAAAATGTCATAATTAGACCTAGCAGACTTACGTTTAATAAATTGAGGAAATGTTAGAGCTATGCCCAGTACGGTAGCGTGCATATAGATGCATTGAAACGGAAATTCGATGTAAAGCGCCGGTATTTTACAACTTCTTACCGCTCTAGTCCACTCACTTTGCCGACTCCTGCAAATACTTTTATAACGGAAAAATTTTTATGATCGGCCTTGCAGATTTTGGTAGCGGTAGTAGTGGAAAACTGAAATGCTAGTACAAATTTTAAAAGAGTATAAATATTGCGTATTAGAAATGCATTGAACATTTTATCACTCGCGGTCAGTTAGTTGTAGCCAAAAAGTAGGTAAATGCATAAGAAATTCCAAGAAGAAGCTGAAATTTCCATACAAAATATAATAGTTTTGAACCGTCGTTACTTACCAGATATTAAGTGATCTATTGAAACCTGTGTTAATTGGAAAGAGCAATGTCTGCTGATAACGCCGGCGAGGGTAAGCCCTTCCAGGCTACAACTGCTGTCACCTCCTAAGCAAGTTTCGCTATATGGGCTGAATTTCTTCATGACGAAAACTCACCAGTTTTGGTATACCATGCCCATTTTTTGTTTACTTTTATCAGGTTGAATCGAGAACACTCCTTAGCCATGATTTCACTGGGCTGGAGCAAACTATAATACATCACGCCTTGCTGATCGCTTCAAATAAGACCGACATGGAATCAGCTTTATCATGGTTCGCCATTGCATCCATCCACATCATAGTTATTTCCGTGCTGGATATTACCACGCGTCCAGTGTTGATCACTCATAAGGATTGCAAAGCGCAGTGTGTTATACTACATACTACTTAAGTAATCTCTTAGAAAATGGAACGAATTAATTTGTACTCGCAACAGTACGACACAGGTTGTCGTTTAAAAAATGTAAGTTTTCATTACATTCTTTGCGTCAAGCGAATATTTATAGGAGAAGGCAATGGTTTTTAAGCAAAATTTCAGTAGTAGGCCCGGTATAGAAATACTTGTGAGAATGCTGAGGACTTCAGCATCCATTTAGAGAAATCTGACTATAAAAAACGATTAAACGTTTAGGTTCTACATTTGGTTTAAGCAAACATGGAAAATTTAATGAATTATTTCACAAAACACAAAAAATTTTAATTAACCCTGACGCGATTTGCAATATATAACGAATAAGATGGGAGAGCCGCGTGCAAAAGCGGACTTACAAAAAGGCTGTCAGTACTTTGCTTCGATTATTACGGACGTTGAGGAGAGAGTATACTGGATACAACGTACCACTGGATAACACTGTCAACTCTACGTTTATATTTTTTTCAAATTTTTATTACGTCAAACTACCTGTCAAAAAATGACTTTGACTGGAAATATTACCTTTTTTTCAAAAAGCGCTACTGAAGTGGGACTATGAAAAATGGTTATGGTGCGTTGGTTCAAGAAGAAAAAAACAGTGGTGCAAACCAGTCCATCTGTGGCTAAGCCGAATGTTTGTGGCGCCATATTCATATATTTCCCAAACTCGGCTGAATGCAATGGAAAATATGAAAGAATTGATACCAACAAGAACTACAGCAGTTGAAACTTGACTTAATAATTTGGTCTACACCAAAAGTCGGTAACACTTTTCATGCAAACTTGTTTTTTATGGAATGTGCTTTCCATGCAACGCACACTTATCACTTGCTATCTCCTGGCTTTATTGACTTTCTCAACAACAGATGACATCTTACCATTCTCGACGTATTTCAGTCATATGTAGTATTGTTGTCTAACAATATGTTGCGAAGCGAAAGCAAAAAAAAAAAAATGATTATTTAGCATTGCAGATATCATAATTACGTTATATATATTTACTTTTTATAATATTTATGTATACTTCTTTTACAAGGCCAATTTTGTCTCCAAAGGCAAAAAAGTTGAAATAATTTCTAATTGTAAAATAGTCGACTTAGCACTTGTTTTAATTTAGCTAAAACAACTTATCTAGCAACAAGGGACCTAAAACTTGCAGTTAAATCAATCTTGGGCACTAGTCATCTTCAGTCTAAGTTAGGGTACCGAAACTTTCGATAGAAAAGATATAGAGAAATGCCAAGAGAAATAACAAACAAAATTATCGAAGAGTCAAACATGGGCAAAGTTAAACCTGTTGACAATATGTTAGAGAGAAGTCTTAAATCATCATTTATATTATTATGAATAATATTGCGGTCATTTTCGTCGGAGCCGCACTAAAAATCCAAATACCTTTGGCTCGTGAAGAAGTCCTCGATATTCCTTTCTTTTAAAGATGATGCATTTCTTGACCGAATATCACTACGTTTTCGCAATTGTGCTGTCCAACGTACTTTTTACATAAAACTCCTTTTATAATTACAAATGAATTCAGTTTAGAAACTATGGATAAGACTTTATAAGAAAATAATGTAACAGGATTTATAACCGTATTTTCGCGTTGTAAGGTGGCAATTGTCGTAACAGATTGCGTTCGCCTGTCAGCGTTTTTGTCATTTTCTATCAAACTTGGTATTTCGATGCGATACTTATAATAAAACGTTCGTTCTTCCATTATTTTATGTGACCAAACAAGTGTTTTTTTTCAACGTCATAATGTCTATGTATTTTTTCAGATCCCAAATAATTTGGCATTCAGAAAAATGCAAAGTTGTGCGTCATTCAAAGTGATAATGAGTAGTGGTTCAAAGAGACAATGAATATAGTGAATGTATTTGGAATAGGTTTCGTGCATAAATGAACGAATTTGCGGCCAATATAACTGACCCACAGAGCTTACTATTCGTAAAAAAAAAACTTATTTAATCACTCTATACTTATCTATTACATTAGATTTTCTTTCACTTTAAGAAATATTTTTAACACTATACTCTGTTATAATAATAAAAATTCCTAGTGGCGTACTCAAGACTGTAAAACAAGATATTTGCTTAAAACCCACAAAAGTGCATAAAAGCAGTTTGGCGTTTTCTTGTGAGAAACATATGATTAACATTGCCTAGAATCGGGCTGTTCGTTTGCCACAGAACCTTATCATCTCATTAACTTCGAGTCCTTCTTCCAATTCTAAGCCATTAACTAGCCTGAAAATTTCAAGCGTTTCTTTTGAGAAGTGGAGTTTCGTTCGACTAGTCTTAGAAAAATAATGTGTTTAGCAACTTTAGCACTTTTAACTGCATAACTATTTGTATTGAAAACGCTGCCATTGAAACACTTTCAGTAAAAGCGATCAACACTTACAAGTTCAGCCATAAGTAATTGTGTTCCTTATTAACTGTTTTTCTAATCCTGTTTTTCTTTTCTCTTCTCTCTTATTTCTCAATTTATTTTTTGCCGACTTTGTTATAAAGGTTGGTATGAAGACAATTGGTATGAAGTGAATTTGGGTAATGAAGGTATTACATGTACAGTAGAGCAAATGCGCATGGCCGCTGAAGGTCACTTAACCACAGAAGCCTTAATGTGGAATCAAAATAATCAAACCACAATTTCAGGCATGACTGCTGAAGAGTTTCGGTAAGGAATATTTTTTTTATATTATCATTAAATTCTTTTTCAAAATATGTTAAATAGGCTGCGCTTAAATCATGCGCTAATTGAGGAAGGTTACGATATAAATCATGACCGTTATCCAGAAGGTTATCAGGAAGCACCTTTAGCTTACGATGCGGTCTGGAGTGTAGCGTTAGCCTTTAATAAAACTATGGAACGTTTAAAAAGACGTAATAAATCTCTAAAGGAATTCACATACAACGACAAAGACATTGCTGATGAAATTTATGCAGCCATGAATTCTACACAATTTCTCGGAGTATCGGTAAGCAAATGAAAGAACATACAAGGTTGTAGATGTATCTATGCAGATGTATCTATGTATATGCAGTATAGCTATTACACAATATATAGTTAAAGAGAATTTCATATGTACTGAGAAATTTCTACGTAAACCAACGCAAGCTCATCTAAGCTTAGAGTATTATGTATGTTTGATTTTGCTTAACTGTGTTTATCTTGGATTCAGTGATTGGCTTAAGTGTGGTGTTTGAGGAGGGGGTGAAATTGATTTAAAACACAACTACGCATATATGCAGAAAATTACTATTTCATAAACATACATAAGCGCCCTTCGCATATGAAATTTACATCACTTGATGTTCGTAACCAAGGAAACACATCCATGTACTACTATAAACATGTAAATAAATCATAATATTTTCTTCTTTCATTTTAACTAGGAATTTTGCCACTCATGAGTTTCCATAATCAAAATTTGCGTGCAGGTCCTCCTCGTGGATGGGAGTATGTTTTTAAGATTTCTCATTTATTAATTTTATTACCTAGGGGATGAATACTTAGCTGGCTATAGTTAGTAAAATCTATAATTAATAAATCATTTAGATTATCTCTCTATAAATATTTGCCATCAATACGTCAAGCTCAAAATGGCAATATTTTTGGCGTAAGTAAACTTAGACAATTTTTACATAAAAGAGACTACTTTGTTAGTTCTTAATAATTAATAATTAACAATTTGAAATATGCATCGAAAGCTTTAATAAGTACAACATATTATTCATTAATCACCCCGTCTTTTGAACCCGAATTACGCAACAAAATCTGTCATTGCGATCAGGATTATTATTCTTGGATGTATTTTGATCATTCTTTCGCTTGAGAAACGTATAAAATGCCTGGGATTGTCGTAGTAGACCGAATTTTCATCGCCAGTCACAATACACGATGATGCTGAAACGGTTCGAATTGGGAGTTTCAGTCAAGTCGTATGGCATCCATTTTCCATCCTTTGTAAACTTTCCCATCGCATGTAAACGTCCAGAAATATGTTCGAAACTTCTTTGAGAACTTGAGCTGGATTTTTATACAATTAGTCTTGTAATTTATTGAGATATAATGGATCACTATAAGCTTCTTAAAGTGTTTGATGGTCTTCGACAGCAGACTTCTCCAAATCAAACAACCAAAGTAATGAAAGTTGAAAACGCAATCTTGAGTGTTCCATGATTAGCATGTGTAGACTGAATAACCCAATAACAGTGAATGGAAAACATTCATTTTATATAGAGAATGATCAAAATCGTCGAACTTGACCGTTGTATACATTGATATTTTGCATTTCTTTATCATTTTCACCAAGAGATGTCGCTATTCAAAATGCATGCAAGCACCTATTATTTTTCTGTGGAAAGCCGCGTCAACTTAGTCTAAAGACAACTGGCAAATTAAGAAGGCCTATCATGACTTGAAGCAACATTCTTAAGGCTGAAAAATTGAAATGTCAAACTTACTCCAGTTTTAAAATGAGATACGCCGATATACAAAAGTATTGTGTTCGGAAAACTAAAAAGTTTTCAATCAGTATCTCTCATTAGGAGTACATTTTAATTATTTTGAGTGCGCATATAGATGATTTATGCTAACTTTTCATTAATATTTTAATCTGTCTTCGGCAATCTTTATGACGCGATTCAAACAAATTTGTGATATAAATTGCTAATCTGTAGTTCTTCTCTTTTCTAGACATATCTGTGAACAGCTCATTGTTGTTTTTCATAGATTCTTTAAAGTGTTCTTGCAAAAAGCTTCTTTTGCGGGTTCGAACCACATTTGATATGAATTATGAATTTTAGTCTTTTGTAGGCACTCTTCCGGGAAGTTTACGCTCATTCTTAAAGTGTTCGTCACATGAAGTTGCATGTAACAGCTTTCATCTTTCTTTCCAATTGATACAATTTCTTACGATCTTATTTTCTAGGAAGAGGCTACACTTAGATGGACAGGCAAACGAGCTGACAACCGGTCAAATGAACGGTCAGTTTGTACGCAAATTCACAATGCTACCGAAGTTAAACTTGTATTTCACTTCCGTAACCTCTACTTTAAGTTATCAAAACAAGTGCAAATCGAACATATCTCTATCCTTATCTCGCCTCTTAAAAAAAAGAAAATCTCATCGTATTTTGGTCATTAGCAAATAACTAACTAGTACAAAATTTAGGCTAACTAAATTTGCTACAGCTTGAGTCGGCTAACTTGACAAAAACTTCTTCTGAAGTATGAACGGTTTAGTGAACCACTGACTTGCAAATGACCTAAGACTCCAAAATCTGCCAGGATGTGAAACTTATAAAGCTGAAGTGCGGTGTTATAAACGTAAAAACAAAGTTATGCAAAACTTTTCTTGTCTATTGAATAAGTATAACCCCAATAGCCTGGTTTCTGAGCTACTCTACTTTAAAAATATTTGTATTTTTCCTTTTTTTTTATTTATATTCACTTTCCTAAAATTCCACAAATAACAAAAAGAGCTTTCTCTTAACTCTAATGAAAACTGACAAATTATACACAGAAATTCAATCTGCTGTTGTCGTGTGGTGAGCGATTTTGATATGACGCAAAAGCTGTTACATAAGCACTGAATATTTATTTTAGCGACATCGTAGTTGGTTTGGATTTTCCTTACGAAAAAATGACAACGAAATAAAGATAAAACACGAATACTAAGTATGAAAAACTAGGAGAAACCACAAGTTTGTTAAAAAACAAACAGATAAATATACAAAATTACCACTAAAGTTAACTAATCTGGACACCTACAGGAAAAAACATAAACCACAATTGTGCTGTGACAGAGTAGTGATAGCTTCTACAGGAAAAGCAACAGTAACAGTTGAAACAACAAAACTCAACTTAAGTTAGTAATTTTTTTTGTATTGGTCCACAAGATTTTAGTACATGTACAATTTCAAAGAATTAAAAAAAAAGCTGCACTATAAAGCAAACAGCCGGAGCTCCGATTAAGCCGTCGCAGGATGAGATTAAAAATCTTTTAAATAATAAATAGTGTTATATTATATAAATATATGCCATTGGCTATATTATTTTTGTCTATGTATTGAAAGCCATTTATAATGCATCTTATGATACAAATTCAATACAATCTGATTTTTTTGCATTTGTAATTTTGCAGGGGGTGGTGGCTTTCAGTTCTCAGGGAGATCGCATTGCTTTAACGCAAATCGAACAGATGATTAATGGTAGATACGAAAAGCTGGGTTATTATGACACTCAACTCGATAACCTAACCTGGCTGAATATGGAGCAATGGATCGGTGGAAAAGTAAGTAAATTAAGGCTTAAAGGACCAAGCAATAAGATTATAAGGGTGCCGGCTCTATCTCTAATACTCAACGTAAGAGACTGCCTCTAAACCGACAACAACGCAAGAAACAGTTAAACTTTTCGCAATTGATAAAAGTTTAAGTTCAATGAAGGTTTACTTAACAATGTTAGGATATACAGATATGTAGATTTCATACAGAATTAATGTTCCTGAAATGGGTTCACCTTCGTAAGTTGTATGATTTTAATTACAAACGAACCAAAACGAAAATAACTAAAAAAGAGTTTTTGTTTGACTAGCTGACATATGCTCACGTGCTTCGTTGTAAAAAAAAAAGAAAAACAATAAATACAAACGAGAAACAAAACATAGTATATTGTTACCAAAACTAACATATCCAGTAAAGTCGTGCTGGAGAACGCTACCAAATAATTTAAAAAAGAACAAAAACTGTTCTCAAATCACATAAGTTCGTATACAATTTACAAAACAAGGCGGTGGCCTCAAGATCATGTGGTTAAATCAGTAATAAAGAACAACTGACAGTCTCCAGAGCCCGATTCTATACGCATTGTTTGCGTGAGTACTCTGTATTCATCCAGTGAAGACATCTTTCTCACAATTATAGCGCTTGGGAACAATCCATCCTGCACATACCCTGACAATGTAGAATGTTATTTTATTTCGAAAAAAAAATTCAAATAATTACTTCGGGTATGTCTACAGAAAATTCCGTTGTTGCCAACGTTTCGGAGAGTCGTTCCTGTCCCCGCGAATTTTACAGAAAAAGCTTTGACCAAAAAGTGGCAAAAGTTTGTGCCACTGCCTGCATCTTGCAAGGTATTCGAAGAAATTCGCTTTATTAAACTAGACGCCACTAAAAACAAACGCTTCAAACTTGACACGGCAGGTATATTCAGGAAGCATCCTGTCTTTAGATATAAGCGTATACGGGGGGGTAAACTATCCAGTGAAGCCATAGGAATAACCAATTATGCAATGTCGAAAGTAGTGGCACTGCGTGCACGCCAACAAGGTTCCCTCGCCCTAATCCCCATGGTGGTTTTCCCATCAAAACTATGTCAAAATGCATTTCGCATCTGGAACTTCTCCCATAGCGGCGACCTAGCGATTTTTCTTTCTGATAAGCTGACCCGAAAATTGCGAACATATCGAAGCTTGCAGCTGTGTGATTAACACAAACCTTGCTGACCTCCTTACTTGCCTCCTTTATCGCTCTTCTTTCCTTAAGACCGACTGAGCCGCTCCGCATAAGGTATGCTAGCAGCTCTTCCAACTCCAGAGGCAACAAAATTCAGAATGCGATAGAAAACAACAACCTGGTCTTGCTAAAGTGAACATAAACATTGAAAATAAGTTAAGATCCCTAACACTTGCCATATACCGTCGAGGAGGCGCAACTTTCAAATTATGAAAGCACTACAGATTAAATTTTAGTACTCGACTTGGCAGCATTGAAAATTTGTTTATTTCGGAGATTCATACGCGGTCGATTCTAAATTACGAAAAAAAAAATTACGAAAATATGAAAAGAATGCATAACCGCAGTCAATTCAGAGTTGTTTTGCTTGTGAAACCCTAAGACATTGCAATCATGCAAAACCTTGGCAATGAATGAATGAAATGAATTCAGTTAATATTCGAATATATATATACTAAGACATTAAGATTGCAAGGTAATTTTAATACGACATAGGCGCATATTAAGACAAGCTGATTTGATAGAAATTAAAGAAACTGATATTGAGGTTAAATAATAGATATCATTTTGCAAAGGACTCTGAACAGTTTGAAAGACTTGTAATCATATCTACATTGGCTAGGCTGTGTGAAGAGAAGTTCCTTGAAAGACGATTCGGAATATTAAAGTTTATCTCATTTACGTCGGCGAAGCGATATTTTTTTAATTTAATTTTTTAACTTAATTAGGAATTAAACACCGAGATTTCTCAAGTGACAATAATGCTGGAGAAGAATGTATAAAGCCCTACGTACAATGAGTGCGTTACACGTTGCGCGGGGCTTAAGGCGAAATCATTTGAACATATACCTTTAAAGTAAAAAATTTACTTAAAGTTGAATTTTTAGAGCAAGAGAAGCAAGAAATGGGAAAATGAAAAGTGAATTTCTGCAAATAGGATGTAATTTTAATTACTTCTGGTACGTTCACGCTATAGTTAATATCATAATGTTTCAAGCAATCTTTAATATATTTCTTCTCCGCTTCTGCGTGGGTACGAAATTATGATAATAGGAATGATATCGCCAAATGCAAAAGTGAATGCGTGTTAAAAAGTGGTTTTTGGAGATGAAAGTCGAGATCATTACGGGAAGGAAAGATACTCTCGGCAAACAACGCTAGCAGAGATGCCTTTCGTCAATCAAAAATTATTTTGACCGAAATCCAATAAAATAATATAAATGTAACTTTAGCTTTGAATCAACGCGAGTTTAAATAAAAATGCATTTTTTAGATAAAAAATTAAATGTAAGAAACACGAAAAATGTTCATATATAATGGGAAATTCTATATGTGACAGTATCTTGCAATAAAAAGTCACTATGGGTCTCTAATCCAACGTACATTTCAAGCCTACTTGTAACGTTTGTTTGTATCTTGTAACTTCTGTTTACATCTTGTAACGTTTGTTACAGATACAATATTGCATGAGGGCGATTGTTAATCTCATTCGTTAAAAAAATGACATTGAGAAGTGACATTGTGAAATAATCGATGTTAGAGAAGAAATAGGTTTTCAGCCGAAAACCGATCGTACAATTTGTATTAATTTTTCTAAAATTTAAATTCCTAATTTGAATAAGAAATTTTTTGCAAAACAAAAGTTGAGCGGTAAACATTGAAATGACGAGAAGAAGTTTTTAAGTTTCAAATAACTGCAGAAGTTTAAAAAAACAAAAAATTTTACTTTCTGCAAGAAAAACTAGAAAAGAAAAAGGTGATTTGCGTGGAAGAGCATTCAAGAAAGTACATCAGCATCAAGCTACAATGGAACAATTTATTACTTTTTTAAAGCATCTTTTTATAAAAAATGCCTTTAAAACAAAAATTGTACAAAAATTTCTAAAACATTCGCTATTGCAAATTTGAAGGTTCCTTTTTGATATCATTAATGGTTAAAAAAATCAACTAATTTGATACAGAGTTAAGGCATTAAAGGAAAAATATGCTGAAAACGTAAAACATAAGAAACTGTAAACGAACGCTAACATTAATCTCGACGCTTATGCAAAATTAAAAGTATACCATAATGGTCAAATCAAACTGTCCCATGCAATTTTTTTCCTCGTAACCAAAGTGATTACCAATTGTGTACGTACATTTGTTAATAATAAAAGAAAAAAAAATGATGCATATTCATAATGCATATCCGCAACAATTCCTACAACAGTTATAAGTGATAAATCATCCCTCATGATATAGCACGGCAGACTTTCCAATAAACCAGTAGTTTTTAAAGCGATTCATTTCTGATCGTGACTTCTTCAAATATATATAACGTCTTCATCGTCGTGACATTTTCACTTATATAAAACATCTTCATCAGTCCATAATATCAAATTTCGACAGCGTAATCTACATCACGCCACTGTTATCCCAGGTTTTTGTTATTTAGGGTAGAGTAATGGGCCCGCAATGGGCCGTTCCCACTGACAGGCCGAAGCTAGAAAGTTGCTTTAGGGGCTTCTGTCACCCGTGATACCGGATATAATGAGAAAAATAAGTTATGAAAGAAGAGTATGAAAGTGTCCGGTCAGACTTAGCATTAGATACCATGCGACTTGAAAACTCGGTATGGGATAGTACCTGCAGATGAAGCTGCAGTTATAGTGAACCAATCAATACAATGCCCATGGGTATTGCATTCTCACTGGACGGAGGAGGCCTATCTCAACCTCTTCCATTTAATAAGGGAAACGATACCCTATGGAAATAAGTGAGCAAAGCTCAAACCGAGTTCAAACAACTATAGCAATGCAAGGAAACGTGGAAACAGACTTCCACCACAATGTGATACCAGATAGGCAAGAAGTCTCTTGCAAGACTTATAGAGGCCCATGCGGCCCACACCCCAGTCAGTCAGTGAAGTCAAACAACTACATATAAATCCATCATAGCAGAACTTAAACAGTGTTATCCAAATATCGTCGAATAAGCCGGAGCTTGAGGAAAGCACCAGAAGCAAACGCGCTCAGTGGAGCTGTCGTCTCAGGAGTAGAGAGAGCCAGACTGTAATCAATGCTACCGTGAACTACCTTGATTCCCATGGCCTCTCTGAATGCAGAGTACTCAGGGCACACCAACAACACATGTTCATAGTCTTCGGATAGACTGCCACAAAGGCAAGCCCTAGTTTCAGAACGGCCTCTTTCATGCAAAAATGCATTCAGAGATCTGAGGCCCGTAAGTAGAAACCCGAAAAGTAAGCTAAAGCTAAAAAGAAAAACTATATTTTGGGACAGCAAGTAATCAACCAAAATGTCACTCATACATTTCGACAGAGGAGACCGGTGCTTTCAGAGATTTTTTTGGCAGGAAAGGATTTCTGCCATCATACTCTCACTCTACCTCTGGTAAACAGCGCAATGGAAAGAATAAAAAATTCTGAAAAAGCTCAGTAAAAAATTAATGTAAGCAGTTTAGCTTTTTCTTAAGGGATCCTGCCATGCAAAACTCGGAAAATAAATTCTGCAACAACCACAAACCAATTTTTAAGACGTGAAGCAGGCCAACCTCATTCGCAAAAAAGAAAGAAACTAATCGAATAAGGCTCTTATCTCAGTATCTTATTTTATATATAATATATTTGCTATTAACTTTATGTTTGCAGATAAATTTATAGATATTTTTGTGCGCAACTTTGCTTTCTAAGTCAGCAATTGGCAGTGATTGAGTACATATATGTGCGTGACAATAAAAAGTAAAACATAAAATGAAATACGAATCAAAAATAAAATAAATTAATTAATTAACATTAATACACAAGACATTTCTTTCTATTTTACAGGTACCTCAAGATCGCACAATAGTACGTCGCGTTTTGCGTACCGTATCGCTGCCATTATTTGTGTGTATGTGTACAATATCTTGTTGTGGTATTTTAGTAGCATTAGCGTTAATTATATTTAATATCTGGCATAAACATAGAAGGTAAGTAAAAATAAATAATAAATTATTCATCGTCTTTCTTCATTTAAGTTGTTTCTTTGCCTAACTTTTCTCCTTGCTCAGGTAAATTGCTTTTAGAAGTCTACCATAACTAAAAAATATTTTTTTGTGTATATGATCACATTTCAAACAAATGCGTATATTTTTGTTTTCCTGCTATGAATTTTTAAACAAATGATTATATATTTTCTTTTTTTTTACGGTTTATAGTTTTAATGGCATGGTTTCGTTTTGTAAAAGCAATGAAGAAAAAATAATTTGCAGGTTTTTGTTTATTTTTTTTGGGAAAGTTGATGAAATATGTTGAAAAAGTTAAAACAACAACGGTAGTGGTATAGGTTCTTTTCTTTTCTATATTCTATGGTTGCTGTGCTTATGACGAAAAATGCGTCGACGAATTCATCTCTCGTTTGAAAGAAAAAAAAAAAAAAAAAATAAATAAGTAAATGCATAAAAGCATAAAAATGATACAACACAAAAACTATATCATGTGTGGTCTCAAAACAACAATGCGTCTTGCAACTATTCTACGTAAACGTGTTTTTGTGTATAGTGTACTAATGTAGTGTAGTGGTGATAGTTTTAAACAAAGAAGTGATGATAACATCTATAGGAGAATTGTTACGGAGCCATATTCGTAAGAGTTGCTGATGATGAGCAAAGTTGTAACGGATAAATAAGTTGGTTCTTAAGTTGGTATTGAAAAGCATTGTAGCGCGAAGTCTCTAAACTAAGGCTAAAACCACTTAATGCAGTTGAAAGTGGACAGTTTGCATGGAAAGTCTACCGTATATATAGTAGCTATTCCTCTCCTTTGCTGCCACCGGTAGCACAAAATGCACTCACCGTATACCCTGGCAACACAGAGTTATACATTATTCCTGAAGCTACACCAAGCAAAGATCTATTTATGCCACTTCTGCAGTATCAACAACTGCCTGATGCTGCACATTTGCCCCGGTTTTAATACTCAGTCGTTTCCTTTTTTTTGAAATAAACATACTCACAACACATCACGCACACATTACATTGACTCTCTTCCTACTGCCTTCTTCATAAGTGTGCCAACAATGTTGTTACGCAATATATTATTTCTGCAATTGTGGGCTTGGTGTGCGGATATGTATGGACGTGTGTGCGTTTATGCCTGCATGTTTGTATATTTGCTTAGTTGGTTGAATATTTAAGTGCTTATGTACTCATTTACGTTACAAACAACCTTGGTGGGTTTTTATAGTAAAAACATTGTTTAAGAACTAAGAAAACAACAGATAAATAACAGTATACTAACTAAAGCAGAAAAGAATGAGAAAGAGAACATAGCACCTGCGTGTATGTTTGCATGTGTGGGGGCAAGGAAGGGAAATGTATAAAAATGTGTGTGCATGCGTTTTTTGATTACGAAAACAATACAATAATCGAGTGCACGCCAACATATACTTGCACAATTCTTGAAGGCATTTACGGTAATGATATCCATACCCAAATTCATTTGGTTAAAACAATGATCGTCTTGTCAAAGCTGACTAAAAAAGAAATGACAAAAGCATCCAAACAAGGTTAGGAAAGCAAAAACTACAAGAACCTATTAATTTTGAGTTTAATCGTTGAAAATATGAAATCAGAAATAATTTAAATCAACGAATTGACTTAGAAGTTTCAACTTAATCATAGAATCTTTCATTGCCACTCTATAGGATTAAGTCTCAAAAATTGAGGTTTGCAAACCCCTCAAACACACTTTGAGCCTTTGCAAAAAACTAGGTTCAATATACGTTCTTCTTAACTGCCATTTATCGGGAATGAAACATTGTTTATATAAATCCAATAGTAACAGTGAGAAAAGGAAAGGGCAGGCATTACTAATAGAAGAAAAAATGTTATCACATTACGTTAAAAGGGCTTTCATAAAGGCATTAGAAAATGATGACTTCAATAAGTTGATTAGAGTTGAGCAGATCCTAAAGATTAAATCTGCAAGTATGATGGTTGTATAAAGTATTCATTACCAATTTATACAATTTTGCGTGCGCAACTCTTCATGGATGAGATGGTTTATGTCGATGTCGTACGAAAGAAAAGTTTTTTCATCTCCAAATGTGACCATTTCTTTTTGAATACTGCGTTGCTCTTTTCAATTAAAGCATACCAAAAAGCGATTCCTTCTTATAAATAAACTGCTAATATGTCTACCAAATTTGAAGTCGACATCTTCATTTTTACGACCAGGCCACTGGGAACAATGCACACTACACAAACACGCACACGGGCAGACACAACGTAATCACGATGATATCATGCTGATCAAGAATATATACTCCAGAGCGTCTTTGACGCTTAGTCTTGCGTGTTGTAAACATTATCGTAAAATGAATATACCGCCAATCCTGCAGTGGTGTACGTAATCCAAAGTGAAAAGCACGAACTCATTTACAAATTGAAAGCGGTTACTTTATAAGAGGCGTGCTCTGCAAACAAACACGTCTACGAAAGAAACCCACATTAAAGACTCAATAAAAAAATTCTACAACTTCGTTACTGCAGCCAGTAGAAATTAATTTGGAAAGTTTCAAAATATTTAAAAGTTATTGCGATTTACTTTAGACTGAAATAATGCTGAGTTACAAACTCTCCAAACACTTTAGAGGTATTGTTACGAAATTCCTTTATTGATACTGTTCGCGCCACTAGATTGTGGAATTATTTACAATTTCCTTAGTTTGACAACATTCTTAACTTAAACTTTCTTTTACTACTAAGTCATTTTGTTCAATTATTCTGCTTATAAAAGCATCTTCCCCTTTTTCGTCGGCCGCGCCATGAACTTGCACTTGGTTTTTCCTTCTAGCGGAAGTTAATTTTCTGGGAAAATCAATTAGTTGGAATGAAATTAGATTTGGAATTTCCGTAACAGTATTTTAAAATTTCAGACAGTTTCGGTTGATTCTATTTATTTAGAAAAAGGAATTGGAATTAGAAGCTAGATTGTCAGTTTTTATTCGAAATTTAATTAAATGAAGCTAAGTGTATTAACCCAAAATTTATAAACAAATTTTGAAGAAAAAAAGATCTAATCTTTTATATACATACCCAGTCTTAACGAATATATAAGAATTTTAATACTTATATTCATATAAATTATTCGACCGGACTATTTAAATTATTGTAGATAATGGATTTTTGGAATTTTATCTTCACATCTGTTATAAGCTGCAAATGTAAATGATAATCGTTCTCGGTTTCTAGATTTCAGATAAATACTTGGTACATGTTACAAATTTGTTCGTCGAAGTAAAGACACGTACGGTAACTTTTACTTTCTTTTCTGACTTATACAATATGTTGGACAAAATTAAATACATTTAGGATCTTACGATGATGAAATAAGAAAACTCAGAATCGATCAGTATACATATTGTTACGAATTTCGCTTTTCTAAGATAGGACTCGTACCACTAGATGTTTTCAAAAGAAATACACTTCAAAGTTCTTTTATTTCCAATTATATTTCTTAAGAGTAGGATTAGTCTCAATTTATTTTTGGCAATACTTTCGAGTGTTCAACTCAAGTATTTTTTTTTTATACTAACTTGCTCTCCGCAAATATTCTATTTATATACATTTTTACAAGCATATTTCCATTACCTAACTTCGTGGCTTCATTTTTTATCCGCTAAGCTGCTTTTCCGCTACTCGTTTAACTCGGCCGGCAGCTGCCTGACGCGCCTGCACTTAATTTTTGCCTGTCTGCTTTTCCGCTAATCTTTTTCGTCGGCCAGCAACTGCATGACGCGCCGCGAATGTGCACTTGGTTTCTCCCTCTTTAGAGAATTTATTATTTGGGAAAATTAATTAGCTGACTTGGGATTTCCGTAATAACATATATATTAGTTTGGGGAAAAAGAAATCCATTATTTTTTCGGTAGATGGCTGCACTGATAGATTTCTCGTAAAGTATCGATCAAACAATCTCCGATACTGTACATTTACATACTGTACATTTCGCAGTAAAAAAAATTCTTTTGCTGTTTTTTGTTTGGTGCATTCAGTTGTGAGTTACAGCGTGTTAAAAATGGAAGTGAACAAAGAGAAAATTCGGTACATTTTACAGTTTTTCTTCGACAAAGGCGAAAATGCAAGCCAGGCGGCTAAAATTTTGAATGGTGTTTATGGTTCCGATACTGTAAGAGCCAATTATGTGCGATTTTGGTTTCGTAGACTCCGTTCAGGAATTTTTGATGTTAAAGATGCACCTCGCACACTTAGGCCGGTCGTCGAAAATGTCGATAAAATCGGAGAAATGATCGAAGTTGACCGGCATGTTAGCAGTCGTAACATCGCCCAGGAGCTAAAAATCGACCATAAAACAGTTTTAAATCATTCACGCAAAGCTGGATTCAAAAAGAAGCTCGATGTTTGGGTGCCACACCAATTAACAGAAAAACAGATGATGGATCGAGTTTCCATCTGCGAAGCTGTGGTCAAACGGAATGAGATAGACCCATTTCTTAAACGGATGTTGACTGGAGATGAGAAATGGATCACATACGATAACCCTGTGCGAAAACGATCGTGGTCAAAGAGCGGTGAAGCACCTCCAACGGCCAGGAAGGTTTTGCTATGCATTTGGTGGGACTGAAAGGGGATTATTTATTATGAGTTGCTTCCATATGCCCAAACGCTAAATTCTGATCTCTACTGTCAACAACTGGACCGTTTGAAGATAGCGATTGTCCAGAAACGGCCAGAATTGGCCAACAGGAGATGTGTCGTGCTCCACCAGGACAACGCTAGGCCGCACACATCTACAGTGACTCGCCAGAAACTTCGGGAGCTTTTGTTATTTTTTTTATTTTATTTATTCCACTTATACTAGAAACTCAACTAAACAAATAATAGTCGAGTTCAATTGACAATGCAAAACTTATATTAATTAACAATAAAATTGAGTATAAGCATAATAAAACGAATAAGAAAAAAAA